TCAAAGAAAGAAAAAAAAATTATTTTCCTTTTTTTTTCCTTTTCTTTCTTCTCTTCGAGGAGACCTCACACCCTAGACTCTTTATCTTAACCGAATCACCTGGAATTCGTCAATCAGCTTTTCGCCAGCATCAAGTGGGCGGCCATTTGGACGTATTTGCATTCTTGGTGCCAATTACTGATCCGATAAAATAGTTTCGCTATCATAGCCGGCCCTGACGATAAACAGATGCTCCTCTCAACGATATTCTACATACAGACAAAGGCTTAACCGTTCCTTCATGGTGGTCAGCGGACACTTTTGCTTTTCTCGGACAGTGCGTGCTTAATTAATTTTTATTTTTATCCCTTTAGAATTCTGCGGGAGGTAGCTTGTCCAACTTGAAAAAATCTTTTTTTATCATTGCCTTACTCGCCGCCCCGTAACATAAATCAGATTAATTCTGTGTTTCACTTTATCGACACTGAAATAAAAATCTTACCACTTTTCCTTGTCAGAAAAATAACACAGCTTAGTGTCCTTTTTCATGATGGCTTCTTATCACCTAACTTTAATTCTCGCCTTTCTTTTCTTCTTCTTTCTTTTTTAGCAAGCCAAATAGTGTCACACCAGCAACTGTTGGGGAAACCCTCGTTCCTATGTTGTATTCTTGGTCGCTCCATTTACAGACACCACGTGGCTGCTGGTTGAGTTTTACGGAGCTAAATTTGTACGTGTTGACTCATCGGTGGCACAGGGAAAAAGAGTCCGTGATAAGCTGCTTTCAGCCAAAGGGGGACCATTCTTTTATCTATATAATATTTTCAATAATATTGTTACCATTTCGTTTGTCTTTGTTTTATTTACATTTGCTCCTTATGAATTTTTTCTACAATTTATTTCTTATAATGTTCTGAGAATTATACAAATAAAGTTTGAAATATTAAATTTATTTTTGAATTAAATATTCATTATCTACAACAATGATATTTAGAACTGATCATTCATTGAGAGTATGTGGGTTTTTATACAGTTTGAATTCATGTGACCAATAATTTGTCCTCTGTAGAAAATAAGGGTAAAAAGAGCATTGACGCAACACGGTGAGAGAAAACAGGACAAAAACAAACTTGTGTGGAAAAAAGAAAGGCTTTATATCAGAAAGAGGAAGAAAAAAAAGGAAGATAAAAAAAATTGAGTTTAAAAATCGTTGCAAAAAAACAGTGGTTTTTGCGAGGACTTAACTAAGGCAATAAAGTTCGTTCGGTTAACAGTTCTTCTCAGTTTTATTGCAACGTCGGAATAGATTCGTCTTCAGGTTGAAGAGGGATTCAGTTTTCGGTTGCTTTGCTGCAACCTTTGAGACATCCTCGTTCCTAAGTTGTATTCTTGGCTGCTCCATTTTCGGGCACCATGTGGCTGCTGGTTGAGTTTTACGGAGCTAAATTAGTCCGTGTTGACTCATCGGTGACACAGGAAAGTAGAGGCCGTGATAGGCTACTTTCAATCAAACTCAAGGGTCCAGTGGTAACGACCCCTACAAATGGATTCAATTCGTTTATATAATATTATCAATATCGAGAAAGAAATGAGTTGTTTGCTAAAGATAATTGTCAGTTCTGTGATCGCATTGTCTTCTTTTGCACTTCTCGCCAATGGAACTCTATTCCAGCTTCTTGCTCTCCTGTCAACTTCAGTCTTTAAAAATGTAAATGTAACATCAATCGTCATCTTCTGTCTCCTTAAATCCTGTCTTTTTATTCTCCTTAATCATTAGTTACGTTTTCTCGACTTCTTTCACCCTCACTAATCACCTTGCGTCTTAGTGGCTTCATTGCATTGCTTGGTAGGGAAACGATAAAAACCATGTAATATCTAATAAAAAAAATCCCTTTTCTAAATTCGTCCGAGGATAAATCCTGAGATTATTTCTTTAGCCAGCAAAAGATTTCTTCACTTCTGAGGCGTTCATTTTTACACTAGCGTGAAGGTAAACACAAATCTCCTTCCGTATATGGGTCTCGGGTTTGTTTAGTTTTTTTAACGGTATAAAAACTCCATGCTATTATATACGTTCTACCACGGTATCAAACACTACAGCATGCGGTCTACCTCATTTTGTACTATAATATTTGGTCTACCACAGTATAAAACACTATAACATGCGGTCTACCTCATTTACTACGATAGTATTCGGCCTACCACGGTACCAAACACTATAGCATGCGGTCTGCCTCATTTACTACGATAATATGCGGTTTACCACGGTGTCAAACACTATAGCATGCGGTCTACCTCATTTATTACCATAGTATGCGGTCTACCACGGTGTCAAACACTATAGCATGCAGTCTACCTCATTTATTACCATAGTATGCGGTCTACCACGGTGTCAAACACTATAGCATGCAGTCTACCTCATTTATTACCATAGTATGCGGTTTACCACGGTGTCAAACACTATAGCATGCAGTCTACCTCATTTATTACCATAGTATGCGGTCTACCACGGTGTCAAACA